CTTATGTCAATCAATAGTTAAAGGTATGCTATTTGCTAATGTGCAAGTCATTGTTCATTGCGTGGATTACTTTTTGAATATGATGCCCCCTCTGCATAACAAATTCATCTAGGCGGCGTTGGAAGCTTGCCATAACTCGGCGTAACGTATTTCCTACGACATTGCCGATGGCAGTTCGGATGCGATCCTTAAACTCAGGAATGGTGGCACAATGTGTTCGGAAAATGTCTTGCTTCAGGTGCCCCCAAAGCCGGCACATGAAAGATCAGGTTAGCGAGGTGGCCAGGAAATGTCACCAAAACTGGAAATTACTCTACCTGGAAACGTCTGTTGCAATGGTCTGTCCACCTGGAACTTTCCCATAACGTTCCAAATTGAAATGTTGAAATAGACACTGGGTAGCAAATAACAGAGTAGTTATTCTTGAAATAACTTTCAACAGCAAAGACACGATGCTGTGCACTCCAACGATCCATATCAATGTCGCACTCGAAATGGCAGCTCATTAGTACATGAATGAAGCACGAGCTGGCGCGCATTCATGCAGTATGTCATTGTGCTACGCAAGCCAAATTATGCTATGAATGCTGCCACACCCTGTTATACAGGCGCTTAGGGAATCAAGGAAAGGGATCCCCATGAAAATGCCCTTAGGTATTCAGCAATTTTTCCCACCAACAATTTTTCCATTATCATGCAGCTAAACCAAAACCAAGAAAAAGAAATAATGATAAAGAAAATAAATAAATTTTTAACAGATATTAAGAAAAATCAAATTTTATAAAAACATTAATGTAACATGTTATATTGAAAATTATACATCGCGACTTTCAAAACAGAGAACATAATATTATATACAAATAATTAGGAAAAGAGAAATTCTATGTATATTTTTAGAGTGTACTAAAATATGCACCATCCAATTCCGGTAAATAATACTCAAAATGCATCCACGCAACCACAACATGATCCAAATCAGTTAGCAGGCGTGGTTAGAAAATAAGAGTGGAGTTGCATGTTAGCAACGTTTTCGATATATGAAGAGCGAAAAATGTAGTTTTTACGGAAATGCATTCAGTTCTGAATAAAACAAAACCTTAAAGAATATTTTACTGTTAAATTAAACATTATGCAACAGTTTAGTGTTATAAATATTAACCTAAGTAAGTATTTTAAGCGAGAGGGGTGCTCAATAAAATGTTACAGAATCCCGCTTTTAATTTCCTACAAATTTGAAAGCATTAGGAAGAGCATGATTGGAAAATTAATATCATTAAGTAAACAAGAAAAATGATTAATGATGTGAAAGGGTTCAAAGAAACCCAGTTGATTAAATGAAGAAGCTTTACGAAGAATTTTTGCAGATCCCACATTAAAATGTAACTAAGTGACTGTAGTACCTAGCTAAAATAAATTCATTTTTCCTTTAAAAAATTAATTCATATTCCCTGACGAGAAATTTCAACGCTTTTTCAATTTATCCAATATACACCAAACAGCACGATATATACCAAACTATGCTAAAACTATACAAGAATATACCAAACTATACAAGAATTAAAAGCACATATGGGATTTTTAAGAATTGAAAAATGAATTTTACTGATAAAAAAATGACTTAAATATTAAAGTCGAGAAATTTTGTAACTGATAGTAAGTTTAAATAACTATTGGATACCTGTTAGCTAAACGTAGTCTGCTGAATGTCCTGTTGACTTAATGTCTTGACAGTTAAATGTCCTGGTGGCTAACACTCTGTGTCGGCTAAATAGTGCCGGTTAAGTGTCACGGTTCTGTCCATTTGCCTGCACGCATTTCTGGCATCTTTTCATAAAATTAGCATTCACACGCAAAAGCCATTTTTCCAAAATGTTTTAAATTTCTGTTGAAATGTTGTCTTTGAATTCATTAATAGTGTGAGGGTTGTTTTAATATACTCTATTTAGGGTTCCCCACAAAAAGTAGTCACACACACATATGGGAACTGAACTGGGGGCCATAAACCTTTAGAAATGATTCAATTGTCAAATATCTATTTTACATCATGCAAAGGATTATTGGTAATGTAAGGTGTGACATAATCTTTTTGAAAGTATGCATAGTCTCTCAATATCAGACAGTTGTTCTAAAAATGATGCAAGTATTTCTGTACAATATCTCTCTGAATTTACAGTGTCGTGAAAAAATATGGGCCCTATTAGTTGGCTTGCAGTTACAGCACATTATACACCAATTTTTTGTAAGGGAATCTCATGAATTAGTCGGGTATTTTCTGCACTCCAATGCCTATAGTTTTGTGAACCCACATAACTATGTAAATTAAGAAAATTTCATCTGAAAAAATTAAATGGGAATCAACAGTACCATTAGCAATATAGAACACAAGTGCAGAAATTCACATGACTTAACATCAGCTCACGGGCTTAGGTCTTGGACTACGTACAACCTGTAGGCCGAGGCTTTTGAGACACCAGTTTCCTTTAAGACATGACGTAGAAATTTCATGGTGTACACTGTAATGATTCTCCAATTTTAACAATTTTTTCTTCTGTTAAAACTCTCCTTCCCTTTATAAGTTCTACTGCTGAATGACCCAGTTTTCTTTAATTTAACAAGATTTTTAACAGTATTCCTATGAGAAACCGCAATGTCAGAGAATTTTTCTATGAATACACGATACATTTCTCTGAATTCTCTACAAGAACCTGTTTTTACATAAGTGACATACACAAAAATATTTTATTTAAGTTTTAACTTCTGACACTGCATTGCACATACCGGGTGACCATAATTAAACTGACAGTGCTCACAGTGTTCTGTAGCGCAGTCTATTTGCGAGAACGACGCCACATTTTGTAGGATTAAACAAGACGGGGGACGAAGGACTCCACGAAAAAGCAAATTAGTTCCAAAAGTCACCACTAGGGGAATATTTGGCGCTGTGTAATAGAAGAGTGTTAACAAATGCAAATCAATACGGAAATTACCTTTTATTTTGCATTCAAATGAGGTTCAATGTGGCTGCTGTTGTTGTGGACCACATATTGCGTTCTGTGCACAGTACGCACAACAGCAGAAACTAACATGTCTGCAGGAATCTCCCGTACAGTCCGTTATATGTTATCCTTCAACGTAGTCCAGGTCCTGGACCACTTCCTTGATTAGACCTTGATAGACTTAAGGTCAACCCCATAGCCAGAAGTCGCATGGGGCAAGATCAGGCGAACTGAGGTGGTCATGTAGTTGGAAAGTAGCGGCTAATGACTCTTTCTGTTTTGAATTTCTGTCGTATCATCTGTTGCACCCGTACAGCAACGTGTGGAGGGACTCCATTTTGCATAAAAATGATTTCCCCCAGGCATTGTCTTGCTGAAGTGCCAGAATGACAAAGCTGTTCAACATGTGGCGATATTTCTCTCCGATAACAGAACAGGTTTCCGGTCCTGTCAGGGTAATGTTCTCATAGAAGAATTGACCTATGATAAAGTCCGCTGTTAACCCATACCAAGCAGTTACCTTTGGTGAATGTAAGGGAATTGCTGTGACTGCACGTGGTGGTTTGTCATCCCAAATTCGGCAGTTCTGGGTATTCACAGTTCCATTCAGGTAAAAGTGGGCCTCATCTCCCCATAAGATTTTCCACGGCTAAGCATCATCCACCTCCATTCTGGCAAGAAAGGTGAGAGCAAAAGTCAGTCGCTTATCATGGTCGGGGTACAGTAACTCATGTACACGGCTGATCTTGTACGGATAGAAGTTGATAATCTTTTGTAAGATTTTCCATACCGTACTGTACGGCATATCCATATTCCGAGCTACTCCACGACTGCTAGAGGTGGCAACAATATTGTCTGGTCCTCTGTCGACATGGCAACTGCTTCGAATGTATCCTGTGGTACAGGTTTTCGTCCTCTGCCTGCTGAACCTTCAGGGAACCTGTTTTCTCAAACGGCGCAACCATTGCTTTTAGCCTATTAACTGACACAGGACCGTTACCTTTACGCATTTTTTTGTGCGTTCTAAAAGCACGAAGAGCGGTTGACGCGTTGCACTGGTTGAGGTAAAAGAATTTGACCAGTAAGGGACGCTCGACTAAAGAAGGAGACATTGCACATAAACTTTCAATCCAATTGATTCGAAACGTTACACATTGCCTTTTAAAACCCAAGCAGCTGGCACTGTGTGAATGGATGTAACGTGAAATTTGAATAAAGAACTTCCTCTTCTGCTCAGCGTACGTGATATTGCAGATCATGAGACTTTATCGGTGTTTATGTAGATTTTACGCTTATTTAAAAGTGTTGCCATGTTGCACTTGAACTAAATCAGAAAATGTGCATAATAAATGGTAATTTTATTCCGTATTAATTTGCATTTGTTAACGCTCTATTTTCTATTACACAACGCCAAGTATTCCCCTACTGGTGATTTCTGAAACTAATTTGTTTTTTTGCGAAATCCTTCGCCCCCCGTCTTGTTTAATCTTCCTACAAAATGTGGCATCATTCTCGCAAATAGATCGCGCTACAGAACACTGCGAGTTTAATTATGGCCACCCAGTACAATAATAAACACCTTATCACATCTGCATTCACTTCAAGCTAAAGCCAAATAATATCCATACAGCTTGAAAGAGGAATGAGAGACAATGACAGCCTTAAACGGCATCCGCCTCTTACTGCTTTGACTGCCTACACATTGGCTGGCACAAAGATGCTAGAAATGCACTGTATAAAAGTACACCACTCTTAATTTAAGAAGCCTTCATAATAAAACAAGAACTTTAAATTATAGTATTTGACTGATTCTGGAAACATATGCACTATCATTCTAAATATATATATGCATAAGATAAAAAATATGTATGGCCACGTAAGTTCTTCCAACTTTTTTCTCTTTGTTAAAATTCCAACCCTTCCTTGCATACGGCCCTGATGTATCTCCAGAAAAACATATGATTCTGCCTTCAGCCTTCGTGGGTGAAGGTCGCTTTTTCTTACCTATGGCTTCAGCCCATGATCCTGCACCTGCCGGCACCGCCATCCCGCCAGATAAGCATATCTCCTACTGGAGCATACCTTGTGACGAAGAACAAGATACTATGGACATCTCGACCGCTTCGGAAATGGAACTGATGGATAGAAAACCGGAATTAGTTGGTATGAAGCTTCGAAAGCAAATCCACGAGTTAGAAGCTAAAATTGAGCAAATTAAGGCAATTAAGAAACAAATGGATGCCAACCGAGCAGTTTCGAACCCAGATAACTATACTCCACTGATGCTTCAAAATATCCGAAGAATGAAGTCTGAAATGGAGCACCTCAAGGGTAAGTGCAAATATTTCATGTCCTTGTGTGCTAGGTACCCCTCAGAAACCCCTACAGCTAAATCTATAGAAAGTAAATTAGATAATTTTGTTATTAATGACAGTAATAGTAACACAAAAAGAAAGCAACATGACACCTCTGAAAATTCTGATAATTGCAGTGAAACAAACGACGGTTTCGTTAAACCAAACCGATCCTTTAAGCAAATTAAAAAATCAGCTAACTTTAAAGATGCTTCTAGCCACATCACCACTAAAAACAGATTTAGTCCACTGGATAATACAAATACTAGCATACCCTCTCATTCTGATAATACTCCCATTACCCAAGACAATAATTCCTCTCTGCAAGCACCCACTCTCCCCAATCTAAGTCTGTTCGCCCCGTTATGGTGAAGCCACCAGAAAACGTTACATACAACACCTATCTGAAACAACTCGCAGAACAATCACAAGCTAAATTCCTAGGCCGAATTAACGGTGAATTCTTAAAAATTATACCAAACACACCAGATGACCATCGCACTTTGACACAATTTCTTAATGAAAAAAAGATTACCTTAAAAAAAAGTTGTAATTAGAGGACTCCCCATAGACATGGACACAGAAGAGATAAAAGAAATTCTTACTGAGCAAGGATTCAAAACTCACAAAATCACACAAATGACCAGAAACCGAACTCGGCAGCCTATGCCCCTATTCCAAATTCAATTATTACCTACTTCCAACATTGAAGAAATTTACAATATCACTCACATGTTACTTTTTATTGTGCAAATCGAAAAATATGTAAATAAGAACCTCATCCCACAATGTCATAACTGCCAGAAATGGCATCATTCATCTGAGAATAGCTTTCTATCCCCCCGTTACGTTAAATGTGCGGGGGACCACAGATCTGTAGAATGCCCCAATAAAGGTTTTATCGAAAATCCAGTTTGTGCCAACTGCCAAAATTCTCATCCTGCTTGTTATAGAGCATGTGTAAAATTCCTCAAACCACGAAATACTACTACACACAGCCCCAGGAAACTATACTTGGAAATATTAAACCCAAAAACACAAACTATTCAACCTATCCTTCCAACCAAGTACCAGCCCCCACTTACAGCCATAAAATAGAACAATTTCGATCAAACAAACCCCCAGCTTCAATTAATTTCAACAATAGCCCAAGCCGAAACACATCTGGATTTCTTGAATTATTTCAAGTCATGCGTGAAATTGAATCTATTTTCGGCTGGCAACAAATTACAAAATAAACAAATCTACTTAAGAAAAACCTCAATAACCTTAGATCCGCAGAAACTCAAATGGATAAAATGTACATTCTATTTCTTATCATAGAAGAGCTCAATTAACCTGAACACGATTAAAATAATAATAAGAATAAAAAAAAAATTAATAATAATAATAAAAAAATCCTTATATAAATAACCTCACTGTTATTTAATTAACTGAATTATATGTCTAATTGCTTAAACCTAGTTATCCCATGCTCCTTAAATTAATACTAAAGCCTTTTACTTTTATTTCCCTTAAAATAAAAATTTTTTAGCTGACTGCCTACAAAAAAATCCAATTATTTGTCCAAGTCCAGCAGGCTTCCCTCAATTCGTAACCCCTCCCCCCACTACTATTCGACCTTCCCTCAAAATAAGTATGGACTGAAAAGAGCCTTAGCCCCTTTTTCCTAGCACACATGACTATCGCACCCCAATCAACGCTCTTCTCTTGGCCAAATTCGATGCTTTCCTGACTTCAATTTTTTCAATCTCCACCCGCCGCCACTGCTGCCTGCATGCTTCTCCGATTGTAACTCTCCGATAGTATTATCCTACAGTATCGTTCCCATTGCCTACTCTACTTCTCAGAATCGACTTGCATCTCAATACTCCTCCACAAAAAAAAAAAAAAAAAAAAAATCGAAAGAAAATTTTCGGAATGAAAAAGAAACCCATGCCATTCTCCAACTCTTCTACCTATGCTTATCACATCTTTTCTTCTTCAACTGCACGATCGACAACATTCGGAAACAGATCCACTATTCGACTGGGATGAGGGTTTCTTACCCAGGCACCCACAAAAACCTGAACTTCATTCACGCAACGAAAAACATATACAGTCAAAAGTCATTAACTCGGACACCCATAATCCGGAATGACCTATAATCCGGACCTCAAAGCTAAAATCTCTCTGCGCATGCGCTGCAGTGACGCATGCGCATTTTACACGTGCGCACAAGACATTTACGACTGTGTATGCGCAGAATACGTTTCCGCATGCGCGTTTAATGTATAACGGACGGTATAAGCTAAAATTATCTATTTCAGTTAATGTTGATGATTGCGTTGTTCCTTAATCTTCGAATTGGATCCGCTTATTATTTTTTGAAGACTGTAAGAGCAATTTTATAAAAGTAAGCTTGAACTTTCGATTATGTCAAATAGAATTTCCGATGCTGGAGCTCATAAAGGATCTAGATAACGAAAGTATGTTTCGATGTCCATCAAACAAAAAAACGAATTTCTACAAAAAAATGGATAAAGGCATATCTTTTGTTTATCTAACCGTTCTGAAATCAGTTTATCAATTTCACGCTGCTCTGCGCCGCGGGGGGGAAGGGGGGGGGCCGCGCAAAGAACTGGAAGTTGACCTGTCAGCACTATCGTTATCTTCAGGGCAGAAGTTTTTATTTTATTCGGCTTATAATTCCTTACTAAATGTAGTATTTAATCTCGATGTACTCCGTCTTTGATATGATTTAAATCAGATTCCTCGTCATTATAAATATCACGAATACAACTCAAATAGTCTTCTGGTTGCAATTTTCTAATTTCGGCTATGCGTAAAATATGCTTTACGCATGCGCACGTTGAAAGAAATGTTTAATAAAGTAAACAAATAAATATTAAGCTTCTTTTTTTGTAAATTTTGATACCCTTTAGATCATAATTGCTCATTATTTTATAAATTATGGTTTCATATTTTTAATTTTATAATTTCTGCATGCCATTTTACCAGATTTAAACTGATGATCTATAATCCAGAAAAATCGATAATCCGGAATCGCTGAAGTCCAGACGAGTCCGGATTAAAGACTTTTGACTGTATACATCTTGAATTTTTAACAAACTGATTGTATGAGATGTGCATTAAACATTTGTTAAAGCATAATTTATATCCCTCTTCTTAACCACCACCATAATTACGTTATACAACAATATTATGTAAAAATTCTACAATAAAATTAAAATTTTTTAAACAGTTTCTTACTCGATAGTTTGAATGATTCTTTTTCTGAAATTTGAAATGTTATGATACTTTAGGTATCTTCCGAGAAAATGTCAGTAATCACATCGCAGCCATTTAATTTGTAAAGCAAAGTCTTGAGCTTCGTTCAGACATAGGAGATTTAAGCAACCTTTTATAAAAGTGTTACGATCTTTTGACGTATTTATAAAGTGAAATATGCCAATCTCTTAAAAACAGCGATATAAGAAATACAACGAAAAATTGTTGCCAAACCAATATTTCTAAAAGAATGAAACTATTCAAAATGATGCGATTTCATCAAAAATTCATCAACAACGATAAGAAAGGAAAATTGTTGCCAAAATCATATTTTTAAAGATGAGAGAAGTGTACTCGGAAGCTTCATTTAAAAAAAATTTTTAAAATACAAAATATTATCATTTTTCAAAATTCTTTTGTAAAAGCAGTCGCAAGGATAAAAGTTTAACGTGTCCAAAAATCAAAGAAAAATAAACTGTACATTTTAAAAGTAAACTTTTTAGAAAAAATCCCATGAAAGGTGTTAAGCTCCTTTGTTAAATAATTGTATTTATCGATTTATTGAAACAGAAAATTTATTTTAAGTTCGTAAAATAGCCAAGTCCCTATGTTTCATGACGATGTGAAAATGGAGTGTGTAGAGTAAACTCTCACTTTTCTATAGCCCATTATGTCTCAAAATGACGCGATTTCATTACAAAACATAAAATAAAATATCTTAATTCGAATTTCGAAAAAATCGCTTCGAGGTGCACTGGCTCTAGATGCACCTGTGTACCAAATTTCATAGCAGTGGGTCTATTGGGTTACGCGCAGCGCGAACAAAAGACAGACAGACAGACTCTTTCTTTTATTATATGTAGAGATAATCCCACAGAAATAAAGCCTGTGCATATACACAAAAGAAGAGTTTTAGAAGTGGATGATGAGAATAATTTTACTAATAAAACACCTGTTTAAAGAAGACTACAAAAAGAAGATTTTACTGTTAGAATCTATATGACATGAGGATGATGTTTCATATAGCCAAAACTTTGACTCAGCAAAAGAAAATAAAGTAAAATATGCCCAAAGAATACATAAATCTAGGAGACATGCCGGGCAAGAATAAAGAATACTGCGAAAAAATGGAAAAGTTATGCCAGGGGGGGGAGAAAAAAAAGGGAAATAAAAATTGTTACTGCTCCAAAACATATACAGTCAAAAGTCGTTAATTCGGACACCCATAATCCGGACCTCAAAGCTACAAACTTTCTGTGCATGCGCCGTAAAACGTTGACGGCTGCGAATATGCGCGTGCGCAAAATACGTTTATGAATGCGTATTTAATGTATAACGGATGGTATAAGCTAATCTAAAATTATTATCTGCTTCAGTTAAAGTTGCAGATTGCGTTGTCCCTTAATCTTCGAATTAGATCCGGCTATTTTTTGCAGACTGTTAGAGCAATTTTATAAAAGTAAGCTTGAATTTGATTATGTCAAATAGAATCTGAATATATTTATAATATG